AGTTCCCACTTCTCGGAATCGCTCTCGGTTGAGCTTGTTCAAATTCTTCAACTGTTTTCACCTTACTGGGATACTGCATCCCTCTCTGTTCTGTCACTTGGGTTTCGTTTCTAAAAGCGTTCGGATTTGGATTCGTGTGAATGTGATCAATACCTTCATTGATGGAGGTTGGTTTCGTGGCTCCATGAGTGATAGTCTTTGTTCGGTTTCTGGCCACTGCAAAGAGGCATAAGAGACCGGCAATGAGGAGCGCAACCCCAATCGCGAGCCCGAGAATGAGACCAGTTTTCGTGTGATTTTTGGGGGAAGGTTTCGACAGAACCACTCCTTGCGACTGCGCACTCTCCACTAACGGCTCCGATGCCGGAGAGGTAGCACTCGCATTGCGAGATTCGAAGAAGGGGGCACGTGCGCTGCACGCCCTGTTCACAATCTCGCCGCAGAGGCCCGGGTTCAGCTGGAACGCCGACGCGTCGAACCGGGACAGAGTCGGCGGGACCGGCCCGGTCAAGTCGTTCCCCGAAACGTTGAAGACGAAAAGGAAAGACTGGTTCAAAGCGGGGAGGGTGCCGTTGAACCGGTTAGACTGGAGTTGGAGGGAGGTGAGCCGGTCCAGAGCGGACAGCCTCTCCGGAATGGGACCGGAGAAGTTGTTGAAGGAAAGATCGAGAACGGAGAGGCGGTGGAGGGAGAGAATGGAAGGCGGCAAGGCGCCGGAGAAGTCGTTGCGGTTCAAGAAGAGGGACTTGAGGTTCTGGAGAGGGGAGAGGTCGGGGATTGGGCCGGAGAGCGAGTTGTTGTGGAGACTCAAGACTCGGAGCTGGTCAAGGCGAGTGAGAGTGTCGGGCGGAAACTGGCCGCGGAGAGAGTATGATTGCAGAACGAAACGGACGACGCGGCCCTGAGCGCACTTGACGCCCTGCCATTGGCAGTAGTCGAAACGCTCGTTTAGGGTGTAGAGGAGCTTGTTGTTGAGGTCGGCTCCGGACTTGAAGGAGAGGAGGGCGACGGCGTCGGAGGAGGGGAGGAGGAGGTTGGGCGGCGGCGGCGAGGGAGGAGAAATGGAGGGCTGAGATTGGACGGTGGTGATGAGGAGGAGGAGGGGGAGGAGTGGAAACATAATGGGTTTATGGAGTGAGGAGGAGGGGGTTCATGTTCATGGTGGGTTTGTGTAGTAAGGAGTTTGAAAGTGGGAAGCAGCTGGGTGGGTGTGTCGAGTAGCGTTGGTGGAGTCTGTGTAGGGGTCACGTGAAGGTGGGGGATAGGGGAAGGGAGTGGGAAAAATGTTGGTGTTGGTTTCTGTAGGGAACTATATTCTAGGCCTCAGATTTCTCGAGCTTTGATTCTATTTGGCGCGTCAACTTACGTGTTTTTCGTTACTGTGAAAAGGTTTAAAACTAGGAGACTGATTTTCTCACCCTCCCTTTTTATTTACTTATACTCTATTTTTTAAACAAAAAAGAGTGTAGATGGATAAACGGAGAGTGAGAAAATTATTCACCTAAAACTAAGCTACGCAATGAGTAATCATTTGTTTGTTAAGTGAGTGTTATTGTAGCTTCGTCAAGTAGCATTAGCATGATGATGTTGTACTATTAGGTTTACTTCAATTCTAATTTGTGTATACTTATTAATATTTAGAAATATGTTAGTATAAGTTGTTATGAGTCATTCTTAATGAGGTCTAATTTAATGGAAAATGACATTAGCTTGCATACTAGTAATAATCTCAGGTTCGAACCTCTATACCACCGTGATATTGTGCATGCAAGAAACTTTATTTTTCTTATAGTTTAGACTATCGTTTGTAGTTTCGAAATGATAAATTTTAAACCCAGTACACTCATTATAATTTGTGTCTACTTTTAACATTAGCATTCATGTCACACCCATAGATCTGTCTAATTACTGGGCTAAGGCTCATAGGAAATGTGAGGTGGAAAAGTAAAGTACGGTGGAGGAAAAGTCGTTAAAATGCCACACACAGGTTGAACAAGCAAGTATCCTCCCTTTAAAAAAAAAAAAAAATTTCTTGAATTCATCACTGACTCACGTTAAACACAATAATTTCTCTCTCTTCAGGGTTAAAAAAGTTAAAACTTGGTAAGCAATGGGCAATCATTTGTTTGGTGGTAGATATTTAGATAAACCTTAATCATCATTAGCTGATTCGTTGCTTTCCATTCCACCATGCCAAATTTGTACATTATTATCGTAACCTCATAGGCACAGCGACGGAGATTACAACGCACGCGATGTATGGTGCGTACCTTCCGTTGTGTAGAGATCACTCTTTGATGCTTGGAGGTCCTCGTATAATAATAATATATAGTTGGACTGGACTGGACTGGAGAATACTATTTGACCTTTGATTCTTATTAATGCTGTCAATAAGTCAGACTATCCATCCTGGCATTTTTAATGTTTTGTGGCTTTTTTTATTTTGTTGCTCGGCATTTGCATGTTCTTTTGGTATATTTTTGGTGTTGGACAAATTGTTTCACAATTCTCATTTGGACAGAAATGCTAACCTTGGTTGTTAACGGAGAAATGCTAACGTTAATCGTTTATTATATTATGTTATAGAGTTCAAAATATGTTAAGATTAGGACTTGCTAGCAAGCGAGTGAACGACTGACCCAAACACAACCCTATAAGTATAATCAACTCATCCAAACACAACTCTAAGCAATAAAGAGTACCCTCTTTGTGTCGGGGCAACAAAAGTCATTGCCTCTTTGTAGTGCCTTAATTCTTGTGGGGAAAGTTTGAAGTCAAAAATCCCTTGTGTTGTGGGGACACAATGGTTCTTGATCATTGCAGCTAAGATAAGCAAGCATCTTCTTTTCGTGCTTCTTTTTTCGGAAAGGGTCATTCATCTGCCTCATCTTTCTCATGATCTCCCGGGCTCGAAATATGTGTCATCCTTGTCAAAAGAAAGGGTTGTTGTGCTTTCGTTTTCCTTTGCGCCATTTCAAACACAACAAAGCTAATGATTTTTTCTTCTTTTCAAACATGCAACAAATAATTTCATAGCTAATCGAGCCACAAATTTATACTCTACACACATAGCATCTTGGGGGCGGAGCTACACTATGGCTAGGGTGGGCTCTAGCTTAGTGCAAAGTTTGGGAAAATGAAATTTACATTTAATTTGTAGGCACTACAGCTCATTTTACAAAAATTAGCCTAGTCCATCCAAGCAAAAATCACTCTATTTGATCCAAATAGATCCAAATAGATCTCAAGTTAGCTTAAATTTTTATCCTTTTAGAAAAAGGGTATACTAGTGATTTGCCCCCTAAACTTGTACCTAAGTTTCAATTGACCCCCTATCCTATTTTTTTTAGAAAATTAAGGACACGAACATTTTTTTTGGCCAATGTGCCCCTGATGTCAAAATTTGGCACTTCCCATCCATTCTGCTGTCAAGATGGAGGTTACTTTTGTCATTTCGCGTGAATTCCACCTCTGTGACCCATGACCTCTACCAGGTAAGGACCTCCTCATCTCATAATATTGGATTTTCTCCTAAACCCTAGATTCCCTTTTATTAGGGTACAAAAATGGAGGGAAATTGATTTGGGAAACAACGAGCCAAAAAGAAGGAAGTGATAGCTGAAGCATGGGTTGAGTTGAGTGGAGACGCGAAATGACAAAAGTAGCCTCCAACTTGACTGCAAAATGGATAGGAAGTGCCAGATTTTGACATCGGGGGCACATTGGTGAAAAAAAAGAAGAAGTTCAGATTCTTAATTTTCTTAATTAAAAAAAAAAGATATGGGGTTAATCGAAAGTTTGGTACAAGTTCATGGGGCAAATTACCAATATACCCTTTAGAAAATGAATAGAATCTTATTTAGATTCTTACCTAGATAAGAGATTATAGCCCACTCCTATAAAAATTTATGATTTCACCCTTTGCTTAAGTCGGACTCTCTCTACACTTTTTAGGGCCTTGAGAGTCCCAAATGACTACAGGATCATCGATCTACTCTACCTCGATTCACCATTTCGAACCTCACCCACTCTTTCATTCAGGGTGGTTAGAATAGAAGCAGGGAAGGATCTTCCCCCTTTATGGTCATAGCACCAGCACCTGGGAATAATACTACGTTCATAAGTAGGTTTCCGCCTATGCGGATCCCACTTTTATAGGGAGGTAGGTAATAAAGTAGCGAGTAAAAGTGGTCCAATCCACATAACAACAATTTTCATCATGATAGTCTCTGGCTCAATCCACAACAAATACTCTGTTATGGTTAGAATAGATCCACTCTGTTACTATTGCATTATAACCATGGATCACCTTCTGCATAGAAGAAGATTTGGGCAAGAGAGAAGTTTATCTTTCTTAGCAATGGCACTAAAGTATTGTTAGGGGGAGGGGGGGGCAGCTAGGGATAATGAATCCTGGACTTGGTTCCTTCAACAATTTCTAAGGTGGGGTGGGGAGATAGGAGGAGGATAGGAATTGGAGTTGGTTTCTGAAAGGCAAAGGGTATCTCTAAAGTTAACTTTTGTTATATAGTGTAATGCCCATACTGGTGTTTTGTGTCATATTCCACCTACTTCAAGGCTTGAAGCAAACATTTTATTGCTGATGCTACAAGCTTAGCACACAATATTATGAGGCACTTAGATTGAACTGGTAGGAAAAGTTCAAGGGAAAAGAGCTGAAAATGCATATACATATATTAAGAACAAGGAATTAATTTAATACTAGAAATTCAGTCTAATAATTTCAATATATTTTTGTCTAACAATCATTGCCAAATATATTGTTTCCTTTGACAGAGGAAGACAAGCCACCAATATTTAGTACAATACTAAATAACTATACAACAACCTTGGGCAATTTGTATCTTTGTTTGTAGGGGGGCTACCTGTTAATGTTGTCATCTTCATAATGAGTTCCAAAGTCTCACTCATGTATTTGGTAAACATAAACAAACCCAACTGCACAAAGACAGGAGCACTAAATATTCTAATAAAACATGTTTATTCAATGGGGGAATGGATCAGACAATCTGAATCAGGTAAGTTGTCATCTTCAAAGGCAGCTACTTACTTGAGGAATTGCATATTTAAAGAGGTTACTTGAGATGTGAAGCTGAATTGAACAAGGTAAAGCGACTTGAGGCTTGTAATTAGTTATGGGGTCACTAGTACTACAACAAAAAACACCCATACCCATAACCCATCTACCTTCTCTCTCACCAACTACCCCCATTGTTTTCTCCTCCCACTTCACAAGCACTAAAATACATATATACACATACATACTGGACAGAACATAAACAAATAAAAGATTGCATGGAAACAAACCACCAACTAAAGAGCAGTTATAACTAATAACAATAAACAATAAACAATTCATTCTCAATTTTTTAAAAATAATTTGATTTTTCTAGAATGCTTAGAGGGTGATTGTAAGGTCACCTTCAGTTTCTTCATCCCACATTGCTTCAGTTTTCTGCTTGCTTATTCAACACAATCTTTAAATCATACCCTCTCCAATATTCTCAAAACAGAAAACAGAGAAACAGAGATATAGAAGAGAGAGAGAGACTCACCTTCCATTGTAACACAAGCCACACTCTGATCAAAGTATCTCTCTCTTTCTCTGTTTTGATCTCTCAATCCAGTTGAGATGAAGAACATCAGCAACACAAAGCTGATCCTTCTCCACCCCTATATCCAGAAACAAGGAACATCCAACCGCCTCTGGCTTCTAGCCTTCATGTCCATCTTCACACTCGCCTTCCTTCTCACAATCATTTACACAGGCGGCTTGTACGCATACTCATCAACCACAACAACCACCATCTCCGCCGCCACAATAACCACCACAACAACCTCTTCCACCGCCGTCCCCCAGCTCCCCACCACCGTCATCAACACCCTCCTCTACTACGCCGCCAAATCCAACGACACATTCAAAATGTCGTACGCCGACATCAAGCCCATCTCGGACGCCCTCCGGAAATGCTCAACCCCCTGCAACTTCCTCATCTTTGGCCTCACCCACGAGACCCTCCTCTGGAAGGCCCTCAACAACAACGGCCGCACCGTCTTCATCGACGAAAACCGCTACTTCGCCGCCTACATGGAGGAGAAGCACCCGGAAATCGATGCGTACGACGTGCAGTACACAACAAAATCGAAAGAGCTCAAGGAGCTGGTGGCGGTGGCAAAAGAGCAAATACGGAACGAGTGCAGGCCGGTGCAGAACCTGCTGTTCTCGGAGTGCAAGCTCGGGATCAACGACCTGCCGAACCACGTGTACGAGGTTGATTGGGACGTCATCCTGGTGGACGGGCCACGTGGAGACTGGCCGGACGCGCCCGGGCGGGTGATGCCGATATTCACGTCGGGGGTGCTGGCGAGGAGCAAAAAGGGCGGGAACGGGAAGACGCACGTGTTCGTGCATGATTTTGGCGGGGAGGTGCAGAGGGTTTGCGGGGAGGAGTTTTTGTGCAGGGAGAATTTGGTGGAGGCGAGTGAGACGCTGGGGCATTATGTGGTCGAGAGGATGGAGGAGAGTAGCTTCCAGTTCTGTCGCAGCCGTCCATCGTCAAATTCTTCATTATCAGCAGCATCTTAGTGGTGGCTGTGGGTGGTGTTTGGAATTCATAGTAATAATCGTTTAACGTCATCATGGTGAAAGATTCATCAGAGTGTTATTGGGATATGGCATGAAGGAGGTAAACCTGGGTTGGGTTTGGGTGTATATTTATGATTTTTGCTCTCCTTTTTAGATTCTTTTGTCTTTTTTCTTTTTCTTTTTGTTTTCTGTGGTGGGGCATGTGAAAATAATTCTTCTTTTTTCGGCAAGTGCAAAATGTAATTTTTGCACTAAAATCAAAATATAAGTTTCAGTTACAAGCATTTTTCCTTTTTCTTCGTTTCCTATTTTAATTTGTGGGTTAAGTCAGTAAATCCGCCCCCTTACATCTAAAAAAGGCCATTCAATTCGTTCCAGCTTCCGACCAAAAAATGAAAAATAAGAACATGCCATTTCCAGTCCATTTCAGATTTCCCAAAGGGTCACCTTTGGACGAGTGTTTTATAGTGAGGGTCTTAGCCATTAGCTGAGATTCTATCTCTTAATTATTAGATCAAATTGGTTAGTCGTTGAATTAAATTGGTTAGTTTGATTTAACAGTTAAGAGATAAGACCTTATCTAAGGGCCTTAGATCCTCACTATAGAATGACTCCATTTTTGGACTCAATAAAAAAAATTGGACTTGGGTTGGCCTTGAGCCTGGCCCATTTAAGCTTGTAGACAATTGACAGATAGGGCATACGCATCTTGGGACAAAGGAGACCAATTGACCCGTAAAAGTTTATACACAAACTTCAAAAAGCTAATTGTTGAAGAATATAAGTCTCACATAAAAAACTTGACTAAATGAAATATAATATATAATGAACGGTTCCACAACTAATATCACCAATGCCTTTTGTGATAAAACCCTACACTTACTAGGCTTTGTATGTAGTTAAGTTATGGACAATATCATTGTTGCTAATAGTTGGCCGCTAACCCGTCTCTCTGAAATTTTATATGGTATTAGCACGGGTTGATTGATTAGGCCTTAATTGGGCATTTATCCTTACCTAATATGTAGTGTTCAAATGTTGGGTTTGAATGTTTACCCTTACTCAATACGTGGTGCTCACGTGTTGGGCTTGAATGATTAACTTAAATATGGGCTTAGCTTCACTTGTGGCTCATTATGTGGTGGTCTCATGTAAGGAGACATGTTGAAGAATATAAGTGAACAGTTCTACTACTAATATTACCGAGGCCTTTCGTGATAAAACTTCGTATCTACTGAACTTTATAAGTAGTTAAGTTGAAAACAATATCGATTTTACAAGCTAAAGCAATGGTCTTAAAGCAAGCTTTAATTTGGGCTAGCCGCATGAAATTTTCAAAGGTGAAAATAGAAAGAGATTCTAAAATACTTATACAAATCATTACAAACAAAACTCAACTACCTTGGAGTATCCAATCAATTGCATGAGACATATGGAAGCTTTTGGACAAGTTATCTAAAGTAAAATTTCCCACATTTTCCGAGAGGCAAACATGGCTGCGGATCAGCTAGCAAATGGGCACAGTTGTAATCATTCACGGTTCAGTAATTTTCCTATTGATGTTGTTACTATAGTTTATTTTAATTTGTATGATCTTAAAGATTCCGCAGGATCTTTCTGTTTTCGAAAAAAAAAAGGCCATGGCAAATAACGATAAAACCCGCAGCAAACAAGACAAACTACAACACATCATCCACACACACCCACATGTCTATTAATCAATTAGCCCAACATTATAATTCATGATTCGCTTTTGAATATACAGGGGTGTATTCTTGTTCAAGTTCTGGAACTGTGAGAGAGAGAGAGAGAGAGAGAGAGAGAGAGAGAGTAGTTTCTTCACCGCCATGGCAACAGACTTCAAGTCCATACCCATAATCGGTAAAACCTACTCATCCACCTAGCTCGCTTTCACCTCACATGCTACCCAAAAGCCAAAGATGCCATTTTTGATTGATTTGATTGTGTCTTGCGTTTTCTGCACTTTGGTATCTTAATTCAGATATTGGTCCCCTTTTGGCCAAGTGTGATGATCCTAAAATGGGTCAAGACTCTGGTGTTGCTCAAGTTGTCAAACAATTAGATCAAGCTTGTAAAGAGGCTGGCTTTTTCTATGTGGTACTTCGAATTCTCTTCATTCAATTTGAACCAATGAAAGATAGAAAGATTTTTCATTTTCTGTTTCATAATTTTTTTGAGTGTTATGGTTTGGTGCTTTGTATTTGACCAGAAAGGCCATGGTATTCCTGAGACTCTACTCAAACAAGTCAAGAATCTGACACGCAAGTTTTTTGAGCTTCCATATGAAGAAAAACTCAAAATCAAGATGACTGCAGATAGTGGATACAGGTTAGTTGGAATGGCTTTTTATATATGCAATTCGTAAATGAGGATCAATTTTATTTATTTATGAATGATTAGCATCTGTATGCTTTGTATTAACAGATGGCTGAATTTTTCATGCAGGGGATATCAGAGAATTGGGGAGAACATAACCAAAGGTGTACCTGACATGCATGAAGCCATTGATGTAGGTCTTGTTTGTTGCTTTATGATTTATAGGTGTTTCTGTAGCCTATGAAGTAAGACATCATGTAGTTTTATATTTCTGGATAATTAATTGGACCTGTTCTTTTTAACCTTTTGTCTGCTGTCAAAATCATTATCATTTTGTTTCACCTCTAACAGTGCTATAAAGAACTGAAACCAGGGATGTATGGAGATCTTGGAAAACCTATGGAAGGATGTAACCAATGGTATGCACAAATTAAGGCCTTTTCTAAATCTTCCATTACAGATTAAGTAGGCAAGAATGCATTCGAGATTCGTATCAATCAACTTTACAGTCTGTACTTATCTTGATTGCTATGTAATATGATAATTCTTGGGCTGATCTAACATCATGACTGAACAAATAGTTATCCCGCCATTGTTTACTTAGTGTAGTACAATTCTAGCTCTGGCCTCCAGGTTAAGGGCTTCTATCCAAGCTCTCCATTTGGAGGCATGGAACACACAGTCATCCTGAGAGCCATTGAACAAATTCATTGTTATTTTTTATTTCGTAACCTTGTTATTGTAAACTGCTAATTAATGTCGAAGTTTTGAACATCATTTGTGTATAAAAGTATTCTCTAAACCGCAGTTCCATACTTGGCTATTTCACACTGCTACTTTTGACTCGATTGCAGATTGCAGAATTAAGTTGATAATAATTTGGGCATTAGATTGTGACTATCATATTAAGCATCTTTGGTCCTTTTTGCTACTTGTTTCAAGCTTGTTATAGGATTTTTTATGGAATGGTTACCTGATATTACTGGATTTTTTTGTTTTGTCTTATGATCATTTCTGCAGGCCAATTAAGCCCACAAACTTCAAGATGCTGATGGAGGAATATGTTAGCCTCTGCACAGGCATGCTTTCCATGGCAACCAAGCTTTCTTCCCTTGTTTACCGTTTCATACTCTTCTAGTTATAACTTTTGTTTCTTGTTGCTTTTAGAACTTTCAAGAAATATAATGCGTGGAATCGCTTTAGCATTGGGCGGTTCACCATATGAATTTGAAGGTGAAAGAGCTGGAAATGCATTTTGGGTGATGCGGCTCATTGGTTACCCAGGTGTACACTCTGCTAATGACTCAGACATTCCAAAGGAGGACATTGGATGGTAAGGCAATATTACTGCCTTTTGTGCTTGCACTTTTCCCTTAACATTTGGGTACATAGAGTGATGTTCTTTCTTTTTCTTTTCCCCGTTGCTCTCCTTTTGTTCCTTTGGTCGAACATTTCCAGTGGAGCTCACACTGATTATGGTAAAGTTTCTTCACCCTTAGATAATGCAAAGCGTAGAAAATTCAATAAATCAATAACATCTAATGTTGTTCCATTGCAGGTTTGTTGACATTGGTTAATCAGGATGACGATATAACTGCACTTCAGGTAAAATCTGATTAAAACTCCGTTTCATTTATGTATCAGTAAGCAATGGTTTGAGGCCAAGTAAAAGACGCAGTCTTTGTGCGAAGTTTTCTTTACAAAGAGAAGAGAAATTTCCATTTCTAGACCATGTTCTGTTTGTATCCTTCTACTCTAGTTTCCACAACAGTTGAATTGAATGACTTGTTGAAGGTGAGAAACCATTCGGGCGAGTGGATATCAGCTCCTCCTGTTCCGGGAACATTTGTCTGCAATATCGGAGACATGTTAAAGGTAATATTAATCTGTGCAATTAATTCTTCCCAATTTCCGTACCAACACCTGGATTTAGTACCAAGTCATTCTCATCTCTGAAATAAGTGCAGATTTACTCAAATGGTTTATATGAGTCTACTTTGCATCAAGTTATCAACTCCTCCCCAAAATATCGGGTGTGTGTGGCATATTTCTATGAGGTGTGAAGATTGCCCGTTTATTTATTCACTCGTCCTTTCCTCTTCTTCCTTCTTGTATTGTGTTTTACAAATGCTTTTGTTGCATGAACAGACAAATTTCGATACAGCAGTGGAGCCTCTGGATATTTGTAAAGAGAGGACAACTGGAGCAAAGAAATTTGAAAGAGCTGTTTACGGAGAACATTTGGTTAAAAAAGTCCAAACAAACTTCGTTTGTTAGTTGAAATTTAGTGTATAAAACAGTAAGTCATTACTGTATCGAGTCAAAGAACTCTGGTAATTTGGTGAAACTAGTTTTCTTCTCTTTTTTCTTTTAAGAAAATATTCTTTGGGTTCATATTTGTTGTCATGAGATTTGAACTTAATACCTACTCAAACAAACTGGACAACGAAATGACACTAGACCAAATGGTCATTCGCAGTGAAACTAGTTTTGAAATTGTTAACGTTGAATGGGGATGGTAATGTTGACCACCCGCATGGATTTTGGCATTCTAGTTGGTAGGGATTGAATTGAACAAGTCTTCAATTTGGTCCCCTGAACTTGATCATACACTAAATACAACATATAAACAAACCCAGAAGCCAAAGTGAAAAAGAGTACAGATAACAACAATCATACAAGGCATTCCACAAACTGAGTCGAAATACAGAGAATCAATACCCTTCTCCCACAATGGGATGTCAATACAATTGAGGTTTCTCCCTTTCTTTTTAGGGGCCCTAGACTCA